ACACACACACACACACTCCTACCCTCCAGGAAGGTTTCCATGGCAGCACTGTGGGTCATGTTGATTGGTCCTCGCCCAGAGTAAGAGGTGAGGGTGGGGTCGGCGCCGCAGGCCAGCAGGAAACGCACCACCTCCATGTGGTCGTTCTCCACGGCGTCGTGTAGCGGTCTGAAACAGGAAACAGGATCATGTTATTTTATTCATCCTGAAGTTCTCGTAAAACAATTATCAGAATCGTTGTAGTTTAAAAATTTCAAGTTTCCTGCAGATGATGCAGTTATTTATACTGAAGCTTTTACCCACCAAATTCTCAGAAATATTACATCTTCGTGGTAGCTACACGAAAGTTCATCCACCTTTGAAGACTGGGAGTCAATGACTGAACAAGGTGTCATATTAAAGAACAAGAACATCTGATAATTCAACAAAGTCCTGAACAGCCTCAGATCCTGTCGGTGTAAACCAGCAACGTCTCGTACCTGGTTCCATCTTGAGCGCTGCAGTTGACGTCAGCTCCGTGCTCCACCAGGTGGTGTACGATCCCCAGCCAGCCGCGGGCGCAGGCCTCGTGCAGGGCGCAGTACCCGGCATTGTCTCGATGGTTCACGTCACAGATCTGCCGCTCCAGACAGTATAGCACCACCTCCTGGACACGAGCAGACGTGGACAGCCAATGAGACACAGCCTCCGCACTCCCAAAAAGAGTAATCACCAAACAGGAATGACCAGAGTGAGGAACACCAAACCGACACTTCGGTAACTTTGTAAAATGAGGTTTCTCCTCACAGTAAAATGAGGTTTCTCCTCAGTCAGCAGAACCAGACTGGAGCAGTTTTGGTTTAAAGGTCTGTAACCAAACAAGGAAATTACATATTAATGGTAAAGAAACAATTCCACCTTAAGAGAACGACAAGAGACGAAGGCCTCTCTCTCTTCTTCTGCTGCTCTCTCGAAATGATTGCGGCTTGACAAAAAAAAACAAACCCTGTGTGTGTGTGTGTCGTGATGGATGACGGCTTCATTTGCAAACTGAGCTCGTTAGCTTCACCGCTGCACCTCAACGAGAGAGAGAGAGAGAGAGAGAGAGGGAGAGAGCGAGCGAGCAAGAGAGGCAGGGTGACACGTGAGGCCTGACGAGCTGTCACACAGCACATAACATATTCAGACTGTGTGTGCGTGTGTGTGTGTGTGTGTGTGTGTGTGTGTGTGTGTGTGCAGGCATTAGTCAGACACACACACACACACACACACAGTTTTCTGCCTCCAAATGATTTCCAAACGTTGGCTGAATTTCAATAATCTGTGCTGTAACTTTAATTCCACAGAATCGA